ATAGATAAAATTCGGCAGCTTGAGCTTAAACTGTTTGCCTGGGGTTTCAGTAATTTCAAAACAAAACCTAGCCAAAAATGCATTAAAAAGTGATATCCGGATATTTAATTATTCAGAAATAAATGAAAAGGGCCGAAATAGAAAATGTGGTAGGCTGCAAAGACATTAGAGGGGGTAAATTCCTGCAATTGTATTACAGAACTAGAAAAAACGGGGACAAAAATGCCGCGTTTTCGATCAATTTTGCAATAATTAAAGTCATGCATTCAAACAAAAACTAGGCGTCGTGGATATACCAGATCTCCATGGGCACGAGCAGATCCTTTGCCTTCCAGACATTTATACTGACCACTATGCGGGCTTGAACGCTACTGTGGCTGCTGTTCTTTTACTTCAGTGTAAATAATGACGTTCAAACGACTTGCGTTCCAGATTGTGCCAGAAATGCGAAATGTCGGGCAATGATACACCATGCTATGGTGATCGAATATTATTTATCAAATTGTCTGTCGCCAACTATAAAGGGTATAGGATTTACTCAAGCCCTCCCCAGGCTGTCGCGAGTTCGAATAACACCGAGGCTACCAATATTTGTAATAGAGATAGATAAATGGAAGAAATTGAGTTTTGATACTGAAAAAAAATCGATAGAAATCTGCAAATATTCCCAAACTTAATTTGAGAAGTCTATTTGGCAAGCATATGTTTCCGGTAGTTCATCATCAGACCGGTAGAATTTCCCGATTATGAATTGCCGAAAAAATGAGTTTGTCAAATGGACTTCTCCCGAAATCTATAGAATGGTTTCTAGTGCCATTAGATAAAAGGATGAACGGTAGAAGCGAAGAGGCGAATTCAATGGAGCAGTTAAAACACATCTTTGAAAAGGATGAACCGCGACGAGTTAATATGTAAGTCCTTAATTTTTATAGGCACAGAATTCCTGATTATGTGATTTCGATAGGCACGCTATACGCAGGTTACGTTTCTGACTGAGTTTAATAAAAGACTTAAGGGATAGTTTAAGGTTAAGAAATAGACGTAGGGGTTTAATTTACCTGCAACGAACCGTGTTAGCCTATCGAACATGATTTAATCAATAACCTTGGAGTAGCTGTTTTCTGTCCGCTTGCACGCCCCCTTATTTGTCTATTTCATATTGCGCGTCCGTTCCAGCATTTATTTGAATAATAAAGCAAATTGATGCTGGAATGACTTCCACAGGCTCTGCTAATTGCCTCCCTCATCTACCCTACTAATACAACTCGTATTAAAACGCCTTCCCTTGTTATAGGAGTTCCTGTTCTCTGTGTTGTCAGTGGACGTAGATATTAGATCCTTGTCAAATGAACATGAACTGTGGAGGAAAATCAATATACCTGTCACAAAAAATCACGCTAAGCGGTAATAGCCTGTTAGCCCGTGACCGGGTGGGGAAGAGGCGCACAAAGTACGGTTTAAAAAACGTTTGAGGGCGAATTCTGTTGGCTACAGAATAGAAGAGACACCGTTATCTGTCAGTGACCCATCATGATTACGACACAAGAATTAACTCGAAAGACCGCCATCACTCGCGAGGCCTTGGATATGACGGTGGCCTGTTTAATCTGCTATCTCCTCTACAATAGTTTGCTGCAAAAGCAAACATATTCAAATACACCGCCAAAGTTGTCATTACTGTCTGAATGTCGAGTGTGCAAGGACTCTTAATAAACCGTTTACTCGGCGTCAAGGGATGCAGGCTGTCTTGTCGAGCTTAACAAAAACGAGGTACGATTAAGAGGTAACAAGCAGTGACGCGGGGGGGGGTAAATTTTACCATTGGCTGAAGGCAGCTTCTGTACATGAAGACCCCAGTCGTCGACGATTGTCTTTTCAAAAGAGTCCAGTATTTCCAAAAGACCGTCAACTGAAAAAGGGAGTAAAAGTAGCATTTAGTAGTATGTACGTGTGCTGACAAAACAGATTAGACTGAACTGCCGGCAATTACAAACAACAATAACCTCAGAGATTTTTTGAGAATTAATGTTCGATAGCTGCGCACATACATGACAGAAAATCGGTGCAACTGCGCAGTACATGACCTTTAACAGAATGCGCCGAACATCCGAATCGATGGCCAGCTCACGGAATTTCCATTAACTACTACCGTAACAGAAGAGGCTATAGAAGGGAAATCTAACCGCAGTCTAAGATATTATCAATCCGCTTAATAAACAAACATTTTATGACTAATTCATACGTCCCGGAAACACGAGAGCCTAGCTCAGACTGGTCTTGGTAGAAGACACATCGTTGCTCAGGAAGTAAACAAAAAGTATTGGTCTTTAGGGGATGGTGTTCAGTTTTACTGTCCTCCCCAGCAACGACGGTCCAGATAGAAAAACCATTTTTATAGAAGTACTTGAGGCATCCAGAACTCATTGTTTAAGACATAAAAAGGAAGACGGTCATAATTTGAGAATTGAAAGTCAATCGATCCAGATAAGACGACTGTACTTGGCGTTAGTTGACGTTCTTATTTTTTTTTGGTCACAAGGGACGTGGTGAGGTAAAACTGAAAAAACACAGATTTTCCATTTTTAGCGACCACTTCTACATCAGGTACCTCAAACACTCTGAGGAGCGTAAAGGGAGCGGTTCAAGACGAAAGAGAAAGATATGCTTTATTTTGAAAATAAAATCCCAAAAATTTCAGCAAAAACGTCTTCCATTCACTGAGAATAAAATTAGATACGCAAACCACATAACACAGGGAGAAATTACAAATATGAAGAATTTTAATTTCTCCTCGCAGGGCATGATAACCATCAGGCCTTTAGATTGACCCTGATGAAATCTTGGGCGAACGGTTTTACATTAAGAGACACTGTAGGACAAATCAACTTATCAGTCGAATGAGGTCTCAATAAGCGCCTTAAACATCATAGAAAGGCTTCAACAAAAAGATAACTCTTAAAGAATGCGGACTGTGTAACGGCCGCTCTAGTGTCCGGCGTCCCGACGGCCGAGACAGGCTGGCTAACCAGCGGGCGCACCGCCAAAGCGCGGCGGCCTCT